ACCACTAAGGTGCCCACACAATCCAACACACGTCCATATGCAGAGAAATGATCACGGAGCTGCTTGGTCCTACCAGTTTGCCAATCACTGTCATGTTCATTCAACAAATAATGTGATTCAGAAAAAATCATCATTCCTCTCTGCTCAAGCACAGCAAAGCTTACACTTTATACTTTATTCAAACTGATATATATATATATAATTAGTTATATAATATATATACAGTCATTGTTATATAGTTATATAATATATATATGGTGTTTTGCACTTTCCACAGCTGTCATCAATTCCTGGTCGGTTTTCCACCGACTGGTGACATATCATGATGCAGAGTTTCTCCATTTTACCGTGTCTTTCTGAGTTTCTGCTGCTGACAACATGCTTGTATCCCAAGTTCTGACAAATTCTGCGAAGCATAGTGGCAGAGTTACTTGCCCTACTGGGCAGTTCATGGTCTAGTTCTGCAGCTTTTGGTGTTGTTTTCTTTGTAAACTCTTCATTGTTTTACCGTTTAGCTATGATGCCGTAGCTATCATGGACATTGCTCCACGCGGATGCTTTTTCATCAATCATGCAAGGTTGACAAGCGCGAACAAAGTTGTGCAGCAATGAACGCACAACAGAACAACAGATTGATACCAACAATACAGAGTATATATGGGAGTTGATCTAAATTCCTTTATCCGGGATCCGTCATTTTCGCCAAAAAAAATACTTTCGCCAAACTTTCGCCTTCCTGCGTTTTATCTTTCGCCGAAGTACGTTGTATTTATGTGTGCCATGTATGTTGTGTTTTGTTCACGTCAATGGCTTCTTCTTTACTGGCAAACACAAAATAGAAACTTCACTGTTTGTCAGCATGTGTCTTCTACTTAACTGTTGACACCCTGTACGTCTCTTTTGTTTCTCCTGGGTGTCAGCAAGAATCAAAATTGCAAGAATCACTGTAGTAGCCGGTCACTCAAACTTACTCATAATGGGCTGGGGGTCAGATGTGGCAGGGTGAACTTTCGCCAATCTTGAGCTGAACTTTCGCCAAACTTTCGCCTTTTGCAGGGTAGAGTTTTGTGGCAAAGCCACCCCCCAAAGCAGGAGCAGGAATAGTAGTAGTAGTAGTAGTAGTAGGAGTAGTAGTAGTAGTGGTAGTGGTGGCGGTGGTGGTAGTGGTAGTGGTAGTGGTAGTCGTAGTAGTAGTAGTAGTAGTAGTAGTAGTAGTAGTCGCAGCAGCAGGTTATCTAACTTCCACAGCTCATCTAGCTTCTGAGTCACTGCCACCAGCTGTTCAGAAAGCAAATGAACATTCATACAAAAGTACATATTTAATCTTTCGCCAGATCTTTCGCCAAAAAAAAATTTACTTTCGCCAACTCGAGAAAAAAACTTTCGCCAAGTGAGATTTTGATATGTTCCGGGTCATCGTCATACACACTGCTGACTAGGACCTTTAGATCGACAACCATATACATGACATGATTATAGAATATCTTTCATACGCATCATGCGTGCGAGCTGGAAGAAATAGATGGTACTTCTATGGGCAAGCACTGGCTACGTCAAGCTGGTGGATCGCCACCCTACAAGTATGTCAAGTCGGGCAAGTGGCGTGAGCAGGTTGCGGAGAAGAGTGGGCTGTGAATGAGCAGGTTGCGCCGGTAGTGGCAAGATCTAGAACCCTTAAGCGATCTCGGTGGCACGTGTTCTGAGTGCTTCAAGTTCGCTGGTCCAGTGTGCTCAAGTTCAAGGGTGTTCAGTTGCAAGGTTTTCGCATGGAAACATTTTGCAGTTGCAAGTTTGGTTGCTCCCAGCGGTTCCTTGATTTGCTCTATTCTTGCCGAACACACAGTAGTTGCTGAACATTACTGTATTCGTTCCCTTTGCGCAAAGCTTGCAGAAGATTGAATCAATATGGATTCCTTCCGTGCAAATACTTTACATCCGTCGTCTTGGCAGCAAAAGGGACTTCATACTTCATGTTCAACCCGCTTCAAGCTTCGTTCCACGGTTGCTAGGGCCGGCACGTGGTGTTGCGCGTGATGCCTGTCACAAAAATGGCAGGTAGCTCTTGCGGAGTTGAAGAGGTGAGTCTTCTCAAGAAGCTAGTAGAAACAAGTGCCACGCTACTAGGAACAAGTGCCACGCTAGTAGTAACAGGTGCCTTACTTGTAGTAACAAGAAGCTCTTGTTGATGTTGCAAAGGGTATTGGCAGTTCGTGGGGTCAAAGGCCCATGTCATAGCTGGGTCGGTCTACCCGTCATCCCCCCCCGGTCATCGAAGCCTCCAATAAAGAGCTTCGTCGGCCGGGTGACAGGAGCCATGCCTGGTGGAACATCCAATCGGATGAAGCCGTCATCTGATTTAACATACTCTCCGAACTAACATGAAGGTGGAAAATACCGTGTTCGTCAAGGAAAATGGTAGTTCCAAGGGGCCACGTTCCACTTCCATCCTAGTTCCAGGGAGTGTAACTGAACGAAGCGTGGCTTGGTGTCATCAGGATCCGTCTCTGAGTTGCTGAGCTAAAGTCACCAAAGTTCATTTGAGTCATCTCTCTTGAAATCAATGTGAAACACACAAGCAAGTCTTACATTAGTCTTACATTGTACCACTTGCCTTCCGGCGTGGTCTGCTTTGCTGCACCTGGCCAAACGAAGTCAACGAGCGGAAAAGGTCCATCATTGACAATTGACAATATCGTCTTGCCTGTTTCTACTAGCTTCTTGTTACTACTAGTAAGGCACTTGTTACTAG